ATTTCATTAAAATCTCAATTAAAAAAAAAAAAGTCAGGACCAGCTTCTCCATCAGACCCAGGAGACACAGTGCTTTTTTTTTTTTATTTCAATAACCATCTACAGAGATTTTGGAATTCCATTCATTCATTGCTGCACTCTTCTCCCCCCCCCCCCCCCATTCACTCCTCTCCTTGAAAAGCAAAAGAAAAACTCCCTGATTGGTACACAACCCCCAAGAGACACAGTGCTTTTTAGAGGTGCATTAAAAAGCATTTTATTTATTATTATTATTATTATTTTTAATCAGAAAGGAAAAATGAACTTCTGGTTTTGAGAAAATGGCTTGACACATAATATTTATATAATTGTATGGTGCAGTGAACTACTTCATGTGGCCTTTAAAGCCATACTCCTCCATTGTGTGATGTGTTATGAGTCCTAGTCATCTTGGCTGTGACCGTGACCCCTTTCTGGATTGAGTTGTTCTGTTGGGGGATGAGGCAGGATTCTGGAATGAGGCCGGAATAGAATGGGTTATAGATTGAGTCTTTATCTAATCAGCGGGCGTGGCCCACGTCACCACCCTCTGCCTCTTTGCAGTGTTATTTGTAGCCTTCATATACGAATGCTTTGGCAAGGGTCAGCCGTGTTTGCCCTGGCCTCCCCTGCCTGACAAGCCAACCTGCCTGTCATTCATCAGCCCCTGTGAACGTGGGGGTCAGCTGAGCCCTTCAAACTCAAGCTTGACCCCCCAGTTTGGAACTTCCTTGCTTCCACAGCTATATGAGCCATTTCCATGACAGTTTGTGAGATGCTGCAGCAAATTACAGGAATCAGACACAGAAGAAGGCTGAGGCGAGGAGGACTAATATCAGAGGCAGTGACGTGGTACAGCACTTTGGAAAAGTTGGGCATTTGGAGCGCCTTTAATCTCCACCTCATAAGAAGCAGCTTTGTGGTAATCTTTCAAAAAGAAATTATTCATGCGATTCAACTTTCTACCGACTGCTGTGCAGTGAATTACTTGATGTGGCTCTTTAACCTTGGTTTTTATAATTCTTACCACATAACTAAACAGCATTATGCAAATAGAGGGTGTTCATGCCCACAGAGATGCAGGACTTTGCAAATGAGAGGTATTTGCGACCCACTAAGGGTCCTGAATAGCTCTCTTCCAGCAAGAAAGAACTAAACGTGCAGCAAGTGCTTTGAACCCCAGATCTCTGTGCCAAGCACCTCCTTGACCTGGTAGACAGACAATTGTTAATTCTGGAGAGCTAGTGAGAAGTGATTGGTAGATACATGGAGGCAGCAGAACCCGGAGACCTGCGTGGAGCAGAGCTATGGGCTTCCTAAGGTGTGGGTCCAGAAAGCAAGAGCGCCTCCAGAGAGGACGCTTGCTGGTAGAATGAGTCTGTGCACTTACTGAGGAAGCTATGCTTGTCAATCCATGGAGCTAGAGCTGTGTGTCAGCAGACAGGAAACTTACTCGTACAATGAAGTGCTTGCTTTTTGACATTTATACTGTTGTATACCGTTGAGTCAGAACCAACCCAGAGCTGACCCTCCAGTGGGTTTTCAGAGGAAGTTAATCGCACAGGAGATTGCCCAGTCTTCTTCCATGGATCAACTGGTGGCCTTGAACCGTGAACCTTTGGGATTGCAGCAGTGCTTCTTGCCACTAGCCCACCTTCAGTCACTAACGGTGTAAAACCTTTTTTCATGGGGAGGAGATTCTTTGTGTTCTTGGTGGGCTCTACCTCTCAGGTTCCTGCCAAGCTCTGAGGCACTGGGAGTTTGAGTATTGGAACTCAAACTAGGTTCTAATAATAATTAGGATATTTATCCTAATAATTTGGACATGTTGCAAGGAGGGACCAGTCCTTGGAGAGGGACTTCATACTTGGAAGGGTGGAGGGGCAGCACAGGAGAGGAAGACCCTCGATGAGATGGACTGATTCAGTGACTGGGGTAATGGGGATAAGTGTGTCGGAGATAATAAGATTGGCACAGGATAGGGCAGGGTATAGGGCTGTTATACATAGGGTCCCTATGCAAGCAACTTGATGGCACATAACAACTACAATCCTAATACCTGAATTCATCAAGCTCAAGCTCATTGCCATTGTGTAGGGACTGACTCATAGCCGACCCTCCAGTGGACTTTCAGAGGTTGTAAATCACACAGGAGGAGACTGCCTGTCCTTCTCCAGGGAACTGCTGGTGGGTTCATTCTGCCAGAGAGGGGCCATCTTTGGGTAAGCAGTGCAGCTCCCTATGACCTCTGTCCCTCCAAATGGTAATTGTCATTTGTTGTGTGCTGATGAGTTGGAACTGACTCATAGCTGACCCTCTGGTGGGTTTTCAGAGGCAGTAAACCGCATGGGAGGAGACTACCCATGTTTCTTCCACAGAGCAGTTAATGTATTCAAACCATTGGCCTTTGAGTTGGAAACACAACTCCTTACCACTAAGCCAAATGCTGTTGTTGTTGTTAGGTGCTGTTGAGTCGTAGATGACTCATAGCGATCCTATGAACAAAAGGCCTTGAGCACTGTTCGTACATAGAATTTCCGGAGGCAAGTCATTTCGGAAGCAGATGCCGCTCCTGCTTCCAGGCTTGTCTTAGTCAGGAAGCTCCAGCCGACACTGTCCGCCATGGGTAACCTTTACCACATTTGGCACATCAGTGTCACAGTAGCCAAATGCTACAGGAGGAAAAAATAAGCTGAGAAAGAAAACGTACATTCTAACACACATTCTGTTTTTCCGTGGTCAGTGACTTGACGTAATATGTGTTTCTAATTTCTCTTAGAGGCGCAGTTTAGAGAAATCATAAACAGCCACCCTCAAGCCTCCCCGCCCGGTTCAGCCTGCAGCACAGTGCTCTCAGCTCCCTGACTGGGTGCAGGGACCTTGGACTTGGAACAGGTTCTGGAGCATCCTACTCCTGGCACGTGCTCACTGCACGCTCCTTTGACTGCCTGTAGTGTGGGGTGCAGGCTCCTGGACTGAGTGTCTCAAGAGCTAAGCCACCAGCCATGTGCGTGGCCTGTGAAGGGAAACCAGAAACCACTCCACGCTGTAAACTGGTGGGCAGATTCTACTGAGAGTTGAAGACCCATAGTGGGTGGAGACCTGCAGGCTTCAGGGTGGGAATGTGGGTGAAGTGATCTTTGAAGGAGCCCCTGGGTGGAGTGGTGAAGCCACTATCCATGCAGAGCTGGTGACTAAGAGGTTGACAATTCAAGTTGACCTGAAGGTTCTTTGAAAGAAAGACAGAGACAGCCCGGTTCTACTCTGACCCTTATGGGTAGTCACAAGTTGGGGTAGTCTTGGCCAGCCACTGTTGGCTTGGTTTTTTTATGTGTTTTATTGGTGGTCCTAGAGACCTCTCCATGGGTGGACCCAAGTTTGCCACAGTGCCCAGCACTCAAGATGCCCCAGGCCTCCCCTAGGGAAGCCATACCCAGCAATTAACTGCCCTGCTCCTGGTTCCACAAACCCACTGACTCAGTTGGCCTGGCCCTCAGATAAACAGCCCTGCTGAGGGAAAGGCCCTGTGTTCTTACAGAGCAGTGCACCCAACAGGCACCCAGCAGGCTGCAGGGAGAAGTGCTGACTAGTTAAACAAAATAAAACCACTTGATCCAAGAAGGAAGAATCACATGAACGCAGCGCATCCAAGTGCTGACCTGGTTGCCTCTGGGTGACGGGAATCTGTGTTCCTCTCACTTCTTTGTTTCTGTCTGAGCTCATTTTCTCCACAGCAAGCACCGCTTTGAAATGGAGGAAAAGAACTCGACCAAGATGAAGAGCAGGGTAGGCGTTTTATGTAGCAGGACATTCTGAAGATTAAACATTGACTCCCGAGAACCTGGGACTTGAACATGAATTGAGCTTCCTTGTGCAGACACCTGTCACACACTGTTCCCTCTGAGTGGCTACTGCCTGTCTGGTGACAGGTGGAACCCCTTAGATCTTCAAGAACTAGGCTTCTAGTGAGGCGCCGGTGAATAATTATAAAACAGACATTCTGCACACCCATGTTTATTGCGACTTTGTTCACAATAGCAAAGAGCAGGAAACAACCCAAGTGCCCATCAACAAACGAATGGATAGATAAGCTCTGGTATATCCACACAATGGAATACTATGCTGCATTGAAAAACAAGGAACTCATGAAATATTCTGCAAAATGGGTGACCCTGGAGGACATTATGCTGAGTGAGATACCTTGGTCACAAAAGAACAAATCTTGCATAGGGCCACTGTTGTAAAACGGGACTGACATCGGGGTGGGGGAAGACAGAGAAGGAGGAGAGGAATGATGTATAACTGCATTGAAACAGATGAGGGAGAGAAGTGTTTAAAAGGGATATATGATTAGGTATTATTGTAATGACAGGAGTCCAGACTGAAGGCTGCACGGTGGAGTGAACCTGGGGGGAGGGATTGTATAATAATGAAAGAATTTTTCTTTTACTTTTCAAGGAGAAGAGTGAAGCGGGTGGGGGAGTGAGTGGGCAGGGAGAAAAGTGCAACAATGAATGACTGGAAACCGTAAGTCTTTGTAAACTTTCATTAAAATTAATTGAAAAAGAGACAAGAATGTTCAAAAGACATAAAAAAAAAAGACATTCACTCAGCATTCCAAATGCTCACCTTTCTCCTAAGTGTGGTAACTGTTTCATCCATACAGCCTCTCCAGGAGGCAGGTACGATTAATATGATGCCCATTTTAAAGAGAAGAACACTGAGGCATTAAGAAGCGAGAGAGTATGTGGCAGCTTGAACTTGAACTCGGACAGTGACGTGGCTAGCAGGCTGCTGAGCTCCCACAGCAGTGTGCCTGTGGTAGGGGTAGGGTGTCAGGGGACCTGCAAGCCCTGCAGAGGACAGAACGCTCAGGGGGCTGTTGGTTCTGGGCTACCCTGGGTGGGTTTTGTCTGCCACGTGGCCAGTCAGTCTGGGAATGAGAACAGCCTGGCGCTAACTTGGTCTTGTTCTTCCTGCAGCGTGCTGGACATCTTCCCCACCATCGTGGCCCTGGCCCAGGCCAGCCTGCCCTCGAACCGGCGCTTTGATGGGCTCGATGTCTCTGAGGTGCTCTTTGGTCAGCTGCAGACTGGACACAAGGTAAGTGGAAAAGGGATGGGCAGAGGTCAGAGGTTCAGGGTCTTCATTGGCCAGCAGCCTCCTCTCACCCAGCACCTGCGAGCTGGCTGCAGCTGGCCACGTGTTAGAAGGTGCGTGCTAGAAGCTGGTTCAGACCTCACTTAAGAAGCCCTGAGGTGGGCGGCCCTTTGAGACAAACCTCCTTTTCCACTCCCTTCTTTCCCCTGTGATGGAGTGAGTCTGTTTGTCAGTTCATGTTTATATTTAAATATTTGGTTCATGATATGTTTGCGTTACTATTTATTTCCTGTAATGTACATACTGGAGTTCTGGTGGTATAGTCCACAGGGAGTTTCACTGCTCACTGAAACATAGTACCTTGTGCTGCTTAGAATCCACCCAGCTCTGCACAACTTACAGCCTCCTAAAACCTGCTAGAGGGTTGTTGTTAAGTGCTGTCGAGTCATAGATGACTCATAGTGACCTTATGAACAAAAGTCCTCAATACTTGGGTGACTTTCACCTTACTCCAGGTTCATAGGGTTTCCAGAGGCAAGCTGTTTATGGAAGTGAAGATATCTCTCTCTATATATATAGAGATAGAGATAGAAATATATAGATATGTAATTAAATTATGGTCCCCAAATATGTGTTGGAGTCCTGACTCTTTTACCTTTGGATTTGATCCTATCTGAAAATAGTTTTTCTCTGTTACGTGATTGAAAAGCACTGACCGGTTGGATATGGTTCATTCATGGCCAGTGTAAATGAGAGCAGTATGTAAGTTACACAACGATGACATTTTCATATAAATAGCAAACAGGTTGCAGTGTCCCGCTCAGAGATGGCTGGTGCTGAATGTGGTCAGCATTCAACCACTTCAGGCAGGAGTGTGTTACTTAAAAGAAACTAAAAGCAGTCCAAGCTGCACTGAAGTCAGGGCTGAAAAAACGGAGTTCCAGGAATTGACGAAATACCAACTGAAATGTTTCATCAAGCAATCGTGCTTGATGCTGAGAAATGTGGAAGCCAGCTCCCTGGCCACCTGACTGGAAGAAGCCCATAAAAAAAGATGGTACAACAGAATGTGGAAGTTATCAATAATACCATTATTTGTAATGTAAAACAAGCGTAAAACCCCTTGTGTTTAACATTTTGCTGAAGATAATTGAAAAAATTATGGTAGCAATACATCAATAATGTTGTTATGTGCTGTCGAGTTACTTGTGACTCATAGCGACTCTATGTACAATAGCCCTAAACTCTGCTCTGTCCTGTGCCAATTGCACTGTCTCCGATACACCCACCCTGATTACCCCAGTCACTGAATCAATCCACCTCATAGAGGGCCTTCCTCTCCTGTACTGTCCCTCCACCCTCCCAAGCATGATGTCCCTCTCCAAGGACCGGTCCCTCCTTACAATATGTCCAAAGTATGTCAGACGGAGCCTCAGAATCCTTGCCTCCAAGAAGCAGCCCAGTTTAACCCTCTCCAGGATGAATCTGTTTGTTTTCTTAGCAGTCTATGGTACCCTCAATACTCTTCTCCAGCACCACAGCTCAAAGGCATTAATTCTCCTTCTATCCTCCTTAGTCATTGTCCAGCTCTCTGATGCATAGCAAGTGATTGCAAAGCCCATGGCCTGTCAGATGCACCTTAGTCTCCAGACAAACACCATTGCTCTTCAGTACTTGAGACTACCAGAAATTCAAACCAGATTCTGAAAGAGCGTGAGACAAGGGATATCGTTACTGATACTTTGTGGATCTTGACCGAAAGCAATGAATTCCCCCAAGATGTTTGCTTGTGTTTTTCTTACCATTCAAAGGCGACTGACTGACTGTGTCGATCACAGCAAATTGTGAATAACAGCGAATAGGATGGGACACTTAGTTGTGCTCATGTGGAACCTGTATCTGGACTACAAGGCAGTCTTACGTAAAGCAAGTGAATGCTCAGTTGTTTAAAATCAGGAAAGATACGCATTAGAACGGTAGTCTTTCACTATTATTTATACACCGTCTTTCATTATTCATTATGCATATACTTAGGTGCTGTCAAGTATGGCTCACAGGGGCCCATGAACTCTGTCCTCTCCTGTGCCATCCTCACACCTTCTCACACACGAGAGCCCATTGCGGCAGTCACTGGGCCAATCCACCTGGTTGAGGGTCATCTTCTCCTTCACCAATCACCCCCTGCCTTTCCCCGCGTCATGTCCCTCTTCAAGGTGTAGCCTTTCCTAGCAAGATGCCCGAAGTATGTGAGGTGAAGCTTTGTCATCTTTGCCTTCAAGAAGCACTCTGGCTTCACCTTCACCTTCTCCAAGAAATACTTGTTCTTTTGGCGTCCACGGAATGTTCAGTGCTCTTCTCCAACACCGCAGCTCAAAGGCATCAGTTCTTCTTCTGTCAACCTTACTCATCATCCAGCTCTCAGATGCCTGGCAAGTGATCAGAAAGAACATGGCCTGAATCAGATGCACCTCAGTCCTCAAACTGACATCACTGTGCCTCAACAATTTGGAGAGGTCTCTAACTACAGGCTCTCCCATTGCAATACCTCTCCTGATTTCCTGCCTGCTGGTACCAAGAGTGTTGATTGTGAATTGACTGTTGACAATTGATTGTTGTTCTTGCTAGATGCCAGCAAATTGTTTCGCCTTTTAGCATCTCTGTACAACAGGATGAAACACTGCCGGGTCCTGCCTGCTGCTCATAATCTTTGCTGTGCTCAAGCCACTGTTGGAACCACTGTGTTAACCTGTTTCATTGAGGGTCTTCCGCTCCTTCACTGACCCTTTGCTTTATGTGATGCTCTTCTCCAGGGACAGACAACTCCTAGTTATAGGTCTAAAAATATGTGAGACGAATGCTCAACCATCCTTGCTAAGGAGAATCCTGGTTCTACTTCTTCCAAAACAAATTTGTTTGTTCTTCTGACAGTCAATATTCTTTCTCACCGCTGTAATTTAGAGGCATCAGTTCTTCTTTGACCTTCCTTGTTCATTGTCTGAACTTTCTTATGCGTACAAGGTGACTGAAAACATCATGACATGGGTCAGGTGCACCTTCGTTCTCAATGTAATATCTTTGCTCAACGCATCCTTTCTTTCTTTTTTTCCCCCCATCCTTTGATTTCTTGACTTCTGTTTCCAAGAGGAGTATTTGTGGATCCAGTTAAAGGGACATCTCTGACGTCTTTGATGATTTTTCCAGTTATCACGATGTTTCTCGTTCGTCCAGTTGTAAGGATGTTGCTTTCCTGATGTTGAGGTGAAGTCCATACTCAAGGTTGTCAGCTCTGACCTTCATCAAAGTACTTCGAGTCTTCTTCACTTTCATCCAGTCAGGTTGTGTCGTCTGCTTATTGCAAGTTGTTAATGAATCTTCCTATCCAGCTGCCATGAACTTGTTCAAGTTGTAGTATGGCTACCTGGATTATTTGCTGAAAACAGAAAATGCCATGAAGATGTTTAATTATGCTTTTATTTTGGCTCTACAAGGGCGATTAAACCAAGCAACTCCTTGGAGGCAAGGATTTTGGGGCTTCGTCTGACATACTTTGGACATGTTGTAAGGAGGGACCAGTCCTTATAGAAGGACATCATGCTTGGTTGAGTGGAGGGACAGTACAGGAGGGGAAGACCCTCTATGAGGTGGATTGATTCACTGACTGGGGTAATCGGGATGAGTGTGTTGGAGACAGTGCGATTGGCACAGGACAGAGCAGAGTTTAGGGCTGTTGTACATAAGGTCGCTATGAGTCGCAAACGACTCTACGGCACATAACAACAACAACACAACAACAAGGGCATTCAGCTGTGTGGGTTTTACCAGGTGACAGGGTGACATGGAAAGCCTGGCAAGCCAGAACACTGATCTGTTTTTGTGAATCTGTGGGGGAAAAAACCTGTGGAAGAGGTAGCTGTTCGAACAGAACAAGAGGCTCCTGCTTGGCTTAAAATCAGGAGAGGTTTGGGTCTGGGGTGTTTTCTTCCACTCAGTCTGTATGCTGAGCAGCCCCTGACCCCACGAGTTCCGGGTTCTACCATGTCCGCCTGTGACCCTTCAGGTCCCTCCTTCATGAGCTCTGAAGCACTTGGAGGCAACGAGAGCCAAGAAACGTCAAGCCTGGTGGCCTTTCCCTGTCATTTCCTTGTGTTTTCCTTTCACTCAACGGAAGAGGAGGCGGGAGGAGGGAAGGATGCTGGAGGAACACTGGGCCCCCTTCGAACAGCCCTTTGAGCACGCACCTCCTCTGTGAGGGACCCAAATATCAAAGATCTATTTATGTTTTTTACTGAGGGCCACAGGGAAGTGACTCAGATACTCAGAAGCTGCTCCAGTGGCCTGAAGCCACCCTCTGCCATCCACCCCCAGTCAGTTGGTGATAGTCTATTTACAGGCTACCAGTGCCTCTGTGAGCATTAATGCCGAATTTTCTCGCAAGAAGTCCTGACTGTGTGAGGATATCCAGCTCTTCAGATCTGCACCCTCCAGTGTGTGTGTGTGTGTGTGTGTGTGTGTGTGTGCGCGCACACACGCACACCCCTCCACCCCCAACCCTCCAGACCTTGTCCCGGACAGCTCAGCAGGAAGGTGGCTTCCGCCTCTCAACTGGAAGTGAGCCACGTGTGACCTTGGGGGGTTATCAAAGACGTCAGTGGAGAGGGGCCCAGAGTGTTTATTACCGTTTATTACTGTGGCTACTAATAGGATTAATAGGGGTCACCGGGAAGTGCTTCAAGGACTGTAGTCGCCTTGACGTGCTGGCCCTGCCTGTGGAAGCCAGCTCCTTCACGTTCCAGCTTCCGCTCTCCACACCAGCACGCTTGTCCCTGTCACAAAAGGTGTAGCCAGCTGTGGTCTATGGCTGATTCATAATGCCCTGGCCTAGGAGGTTAATGGTTATCGGTCTAGAAACCGCATCGTTAGGCCCCAGGAACCAGTTAGGAGGACTAGGTACTAGTCACATCACATTTAGGGTTTTCATGGGACCTCGCAGAGTGTGGTGACCG